TGTCTTGTTGCATCTGTATTTATACCAGTTGATTCTAATCCTATCAATCTCTATTCCAAAGGTTAGGGCGTTTCTTATCTCCATTCCAGGGAGTAAAGATTATGTAGCTTAAGCATGATTGTTCGTAAAGAGATTAATTACCCACCTGGCACTTAGTTAAGGGGTTTTATTCCCTCCCTAACTTCAAGGGGAAATCCCTACCTGGGGAAACAACCTTTCCCAGAGAGGTGACCTTGGTTAAAACACATAGTGCCAAGAAGGTGAGCAAACATAGTAAGAACAGTATGCCATATATGCCAGGTCCCTTGAAACAGCAAGGATGGACCGGCTCCCGGCACTTAAACTCTTCCTAGTGGCATAAAAACAAGCCTACACGTTGAACAAAATACTGCTGAGGTTTACCTTAATAGCTGGGGCTGCACACAGAGTCTGTGTATTGATTCTACTGCAACAGCTCGTAGCCACTGTGGTTTATCTGCATCCAGAAATTTCACCAGAAGTGACAGAAATATCTCACATTCAGTTACCTAAAAAGTGTAAGATTTTTAAATAATATTTCTTTAAATCTAAGAATTATAAATTGCAGTCTTGTTCTTATTTTATTCCTATGGACAAACCAATAAAATCTTTTAATTTTAAATAAATTAAAACTCTTAATCGGGAGTGGAGAAAAGTAGTTATATAAGGAAAAGCTAACAGGGAAAAAATCAGTGTCTCTCTAAGTACATCCCTGAAAACTCACAACAGTGATCTGCTAACGTGGTTAATCGTTTATCCTTATTTTTTTAGAAAGTACTATGTAGGTATCAAGATTAGTATCTATGGCTTAAGTCCAATTGTTGCTCGAAGATACTTCATTAATTCCATTATACTAGCATGAAGGGTGATGAATGTTTCTGAATTCCTATAGTCCTTTCCTAAGGATAACAGTCAAGAAATAAGTGATACTTAAGATGAAAGCATCCTGGTGGAAATACTAATACATGGATTAGAATATTTAAATGCAAGCATGGGATTATTAGTGATAAGATCCTCTGTTAGAGAAATGTATGTGAAGTAGAAAATTAGGTTAGACAAGCCAATTTATCCCCATTCATTACTTTTTAAAAGTGGAAAGTCAAAGGCAGGAGAGAGAATTAGCCATTTATAATTAAGTTTCATAAATTCCTTAAAGTTATCTTCCTTAAAAATATATCTGAGCATGGAGCCTAGTGATTCAAAGGGCAGAGAGGCACCTAGCTCAGATATTAGAACAGGGGTCCTCAAACTTTTCAAACAGGCAGCCAGTTCACTGTCCCTCAGACCGTTGGAGGGCTGGACTATAGTTTTAAAAAAAAAACTATGAACAAATTCCTATGCACACTGCACATATCTTATTTTGAAGTAAAAAACAAAACGGGAACAAATACAATAATTGTATTTGCATGTGGCCCGCGGGCCGTAGTTTGAGGACCCCTGTGTTAGAAAGTGGAATAAATATAGTATACTTGACATGTTGTATCTGTCCCAACATGACTGGGGCATTCTAATTTCCTCTAGTCAGTATAGATACATTAACAGAACTAGCCATTGAAGATCAGTTACCTTCACCCCTACTTTTCAGGACAAGATATGCTGGTGAATTTCGGGGAAGAACACCAAGTCTCTAGTGTAGTGGTTCCCAAACTGTGGTCCCTGGGACTATTTCAGGGGTTCTGCGAGGTGATATGTATTTTCCTAACAATACTAAGGTATTACTTGCCATTTTCAATGTGCTGACATTTATACTGATGACCAGATAATGAAAACAGAAAAATAAGAGGGTAGCATTCCACATCAATCACATACCTCACCCCACAACAACCATACCTCTAACTTTTGCCCTTGGAGAAGCTAGAATGTCTGAATTTTCCCATATGTTAAGTCTAATGTAAAAAATTATAACACCAAGGAAATAATATCTTATATGCTTCTGAAGCTTCATCTTTGCAAACACAGTCCTAGAGCTGTCTTATTGTTGTGAAAGGAAGTTTTACCAGTTGGTTATCACCCCCAATTAATGAGGAAAGTACAGAAATAGGCCTTTCTCTTCCTTGAGGCAGTAACATTCAATCTTTCCTGTAGCTGGCTGTAATGTTATTTCCCCATTCTTTTAGCG